TTCGACCATTATTGGATGTCTGGACAAATTCACTGAATGACTTAGTTGACCTAGTCTCTTGTCCATTATACAGCTGACCATCGATGTTAGTTTATATTCCTCACACGCTTGACTTGATCTCCTGCCCTCATATGTGAACTTAGAATGGGACACAACTCTCTTCGTCGTTCTTCCACGGCGTTGGGAAATTGTTCGTTAATCCAAAAGGGTGTATCTTTAAGGTAGTGTGCATTATTCCGAACTAACTGTAGTTCTTTTTGGAACATAAACACTGCTACGATTGGTCGTTCTTTCCAAAATACTTGCTTGCCAACACGATGGACATTGGTGAACTCAATGTTATTGTTGATACACAACTCATAGTATATAAAGTCTCTCAGTCTACTTTCGGTATCTTCATGTGAGTGTTCCTCCAGTCCATGGAATATCAGGTTCCTTTTCATTGACCTGCACTGTATGTCCTCTAATGTATCAAATATTGCCTTCTGCCCACTTTCATATCATCATATAGTCCACTGATCATTTCAGAACTCCTCTCAAATTCAATGTTATTCTCTTTAACTTTTTGGATTTTATTTTCCAGGAATCGCACTTCGTTATTCAATGATTGCAAGGACTTTTGAACATCATCAATTTTTGGGACCTGTTGTTCAATTACATTCAATCTTAAATCTAGCTTGCCAACTAACGCTAAAAGTTCTGTAAGTGAACTAGCGATTCCACTCTCACCGGTGGGAGAGGAGTCGTCTTGCAAGCATTGTGGAAGTTTCAGTCATATTTAACTTTATAAATCCGGTTGAAACAATATACACTGTAGGTTAAGTTCACAACAGTTCACCACTACACCACATAGGTAAGCAGACAAGTACGTACATTGTAGGTAAGCGGGCAAGTACGTACATTGTAGGTAAGTAGCACTGAGCACCTGTCAACTCTACAGGTAAATCCCATTGTCTGTATATTTTGTGTAGGTTGTCCTTTAGAAGCCACTTATTAAATGTTTATCACGGTTACTACGATATTTTTTCTCGATGATCCGTATATATTTACGGAACACCCAACCCCAATAAAAAGACATTCTCCTGTAAAATACAGGAAACTATGTAGGCCTTCAGCAAGACCGAGGTAAAATCTTAAATCAGGGTTGACATTTTAAGTTCTTAGTATGAAAGCAGGTTAAAATGACCACAAAATATCTTCATGCTGACAGAAACCCTTGGCCAACGAGATGAATATGTCTGAAAACCAAGTCCTGATACTCAAATCAGAATAAATTCCGATCCTTAGATAGAGATTAGTGATCAGAAAGTGATATTTACTTCCTATTTTTATTTTATTAAAACCTGTTAGTAGTCTACTCCTGTTCAATATGAAATAGAACAAATATCACTCTTAGTCTCATTATTTCGGTCTCCTGGCCTTCTGCAAGGGCGAAAGTCAACGATTGTTAAATATAGCTTCTTCATTGATTTACATGTATATGTAACGTTAATAGACCGATAGGTGCCAAATACATACAGAAACGCAACATATTGAAGAAAAATATCTAAATTTATTAAACCTTTTACAATCAATTATCATTTGTTTTAAAGCATATGAGGAAATGTATGTAAACTAGGCACTGACCTCAACAAAAGTCTAAAATTAAAAAATATTTCCAACATTCCGAAATAATTCCCTTCTCGGGTATTTATAGAATCAACCAGGAAAAGTCTAAGCATTAATCCATTTACATAAATTCATTGATAGACAAAGGATATGAAACCTCGATTTAACACAGTAAGCTGTACAAGTGTAAATGTCACTTAATGGAGACACTATAGTTACAGACTTCATAAACAAGAACAGGGACAACACACATCAGCAAATTACAAACACGACCTACGTTTTAGTTTGCAGCATATCAAATCATGTTAAATCGGCCGGTTCATGTAACTCTTTTGATCTTTTCTAGGATTGACGTCACTATTTAAAATAAATCCGAGCGATTAAGAACCAGGATACCACCCTCTAGGTCATAGATAATACATCGGCGACGTTGATACTATACAGAGGACAATCTAAACAGAAATGAACTAAGTTTTCGCAACGATGCAGACTAATTGAAAGGATTTACGCTTATTCGATTTCGTGCAACCGACGGCTATGATTTAAAACATTCATTTTCCGGGTCTGAAAGTGAAACAAACTATATCATAATATTTTATAAGTTACATGCTTCTGTCTTAACATAAAGTTTGGGATTTTAAGGTATCAAAATTGAACAAATTTCTGATAGATTCCTTAATGTTATTCCGAGGTTATTCCAATAGAGTGTTGGGGGGGGGGGGGGGGGGGGGGGGGGGGCGATAATTGGCACGCTGTGTTGCTCTACCATCATCATTATTGCAAGGAAGAATATCATATTGTGTAGTTCGGCGTGGGGACTGTTCAATTGTATATCTTTACTTATTATGACGGTTTCCATTTTTCTCTTTGATATCAGTCACCTTACAATCTCGACACAAACAAAACAAAGCGTGGTATAAATAGTCAAACTCATAACAATTCAATCAGTTTTATCTTGGTTGCAGTTTTTCGATATATGATGATTTTTAAACTCCACAATTGTCCCAACCTTCATTGGCATATTCAATCAAACGTAACGTTATAAACATGATTTACTGTTTTAGACATAAATTAGTTGTGCTGATTTTGATATAAATTTTATGTAGAGTAATACATATTTGAATACTCTTTTAATGATTATATATTAAGACAATTTTCAATCACAGCTTATCTTACAATGTCTATGGATGATCATACGTGATTGATCTGGTTTACTTGTTGGTAAATGTGGTGTGTGAACGTGACAAATCATTATCTATATAGGACATACGCCAATGCTTGGATCATATTTGAAAATCCTTTTGGCTACATAAAAAAAGTTTTTTAAAGTCCTGTGACGAGTAAGATAGTGACGTGTCGAGGGCCAAGAGACTTGGTAAGGATGCTGAGAAATGCCACTGACGTTTCACAAACAGGACGTCACTTGTATGTTATTAACCTGTTGTATTCCACTGACATTGACGCCGTGTAAGAAACCAATCTCAGACAGAGCTGTAGGACATGATGGGTTTGTGTATGAACATGTTCAGTGGCGGATCCAGAGACCTATCTGGGGAGGTTTCCAAATGGGGGGNGGGGGGGGGGGGGGGGGGGGATTTGAGGAAAATGGTGAAAATACATGATTTTTAAAGAAAATTCTTAGGCTGTTAGGCTGGAGGGGTTTCCTGAAGCCCAAATAACCCCTCTGGATCTGCCACTGCATGTTTCATATGGACTGTAGTAATAAACTGTTTGAACATATGGCTACGTTATTCAATATGATGATAAAATTGAAATATATTCCAAAACAATTCAAAATGGATTAAATGTTTAGTTGTACAAAAGTCACGGGGAAATTAAAGATGAACCCAATAGCTGTAGAGACAAGACCACCACTGCCAGTAATGATTAAATCCGTGTCCAGTAGAATCACCCCAGACATTTGTTCAGATACCTTAGACTAAGATTTGTAGGTTTAGTTTTGAGTAAGGTATGGTCTAAGCGACCATGTTACTTGAGATACCAATCAACCTCATATTTGTATCTGTCACAAACAAACAGCTATCTGTATAACGGAGTAATCCTTGTAGCCTATGTACAGCTTTTAATAATGCGTTTGACAATGTTTGGCACGCAGGCTAAAATACAGTATATCGGACTGATAGGCAAAATAATCAAGTCACGTTACCAGTGGAAATTATCTGTTAAGTACCCGCAGTATTCTAAACCATACCGTGTATCTTAGGAGTATGTGTAATGTCTTGTATGTCAATACTCATGGACTTATGTCATTACTCGTCCTCGATACTCCAGGGATAACGCTCACTTTCGCTCTCTGCGCCCTTTGGTATATGTCATAGCAAAATTGAAGGCACAAAGATTGCTGTTTGATTGGTCTCAGGTAAAAGAAACTGTTACCTATATTTTGAAGATTACAAAGGAGCGACACCCGACTTCAAAGCCTGTCATTTTTTCCGTTACCTGACCGCGAGATTCTTTTGGGGAACATCAAAGGATCGAATTAGTCTTGTTTTTCTCTTCCACAAGGTGGTGTACGGAGCCTTCAGTTTTGCTATATATGACATATTCTAGGGAGTGTCGAGGATGGTAATTAATGTGAAAGTTTATTTCGATACTGTGACTTATATTATTTTACATTGTAACAAAAATACTGAAGTAACAGACAATGTATGGTGTACTTTTTGATATGTATGTTAGATATACAATTCAATGTACATTTGCGTAATTCATCGGACTTTGATTTGACTAATATTTGATTAGATAGTAGATATTGACGTTCGTCTGAAGACATTAAATGTTTCAGAGTAAGGGTATTAACACGTGTATCAAATGTTGAATACTACAAATAATTCAATTATTTCTCAATGACATCAATTCAATGCCAAATTGAATGTACCTCTTTTTTCTCTGATAATATATTTACATGTACATTGAAGAGTGACGATAAATGATCATCTTGTTGGGGAGACGGATAATAATAACAAGCGGCTAATATCGGGTTATGTGGCTGCAGAATCGGGATTTTTTATGCATACAGAACACTTCAGGCGTTAGAATATAGCTATGGTTACTAGACACGATTTGTTTATTTTAAAAGTAAGGATATTTTATAAAAGCTGGAGAGTACGTTTTCTTCAGTAGTAAGAAGTAAGACCGAGTACGACTGTTTAAGAGTATTTAAAACACTTTCTTCAGAAGTCACACTGTTTGTTTATTCCTTTTAGTTAAGTGAGCCATTAATATGTTGAAGATTACGAGTTTGCTGACAATAAACATGTAGCGTTAACCAGAGATACATGTATGTAGTATATATATACATACGTCTAGAGCGGCTTTAACATTCGTTACATGATATACTTTTAGTGACCAATGCTAAGCTACAGGTTCCTTTCCTGACGCCTGTGACCATGGCTGAGGTAGGCAATCTGGTATTTTAAATCACCGTCTGTACTACCTGCAATCTACAACAAATACAATATTCATTGAATCACACAAAACGTCGCTTATGTAAAATTAGTGCTATTGTCACTTCCTGTTGGACGGCATCGTCGGAAAACCCCGTTCGATTGTACTAGCGTTTATCGGGTGGCGTTAATTTTATATGCCAGATCACAGGCACTAGCCTCGTCTGTCAATATACATATTATATATTATGTGTATTGACAGACGAGGCTAGTGCCCGTAGTGAGATCTCCCGCTAGTCGTTACGTAACCAAGTCGTTATGCGGCCATCTGAAACCTACAAATATATACCGTAACAACCGGGGGTGTTAGATACGTAAATGTTTACAGATTGTTCCTGGAATAAGTATTGTTCACTGTGTACGACATATCCTGGTTCAAAGGTCATAGCTCACATGACAGCTCGTCCAGGTCGATAAAGTCTGATGATGATGTTCCTTGGACATATATATGGGAGATATTCATTTCAGTGTCGTTATATATATATAATTAGCAACTAAAGATAGCCGGGGTATGGCAGTAACAAACTTTTAACAGTGAGTTATAAACGACGAAGTTACAAATATAATTTTAATATAAATACGTCCCAGGTTTCGGTTATAACGGAAAAAGGACATAAAAGTACGTTTTCAGCACCACTATCAACCAGTCAACCAATGAGATAGATATACAGACATAAAGATGCATCTGAAATAAAACAAAATCTACTGATATATATATATGTGTTTTATCATTTTGAAATTCTGTTTTGGGCAAAACATCTTTTCTAATATCAGACTTTTTGCTTGCATCGTTAGGAAACGTTCTAAAATAGTAATAGTTATCATTACAGCTTGGCACAGAGAAAGAAAATCAGGGGCAATATTTTGTTCTATGACCACTTATACATGTATTGTAATAATTTTTAATTATATTTATTATCGGGGACATACAATAATAATTTTATTTGTGTAAAATACTAATATAAGCAGCGTAATATAAATAACGTTTCAAAATCGAAGATAAATAAAATGTACAGCACTCTGTTATGACTGAAGGTAACAATAAAGAGCATATAGACCACAGGGGCTCGGTTTGACTTTCGGGATAGTTTCGGTTAATAATAAACCTATTCACACCAGTAAATATACACATTCTTAAACCTTATAACATTTTTATAATGTTTCAGAATGTACATAAACACCGGAAAAGAAGTGTTGCTATTATTTTCTGGTGTGTATAGGTTTATTATTACGCTGCACAATACACTCGAAAGAGGGTGTTGCAGAATATCTAGATAGATAGATAGAAAGTGTCTCGAAACCGAGCCCCTGTGTACTAAATGCATATTGGCGGGGACATACACTATATACTGCGTTCCGCATTCTTGAAAATTTGAATTTTCTATCAACCTTTAATTGACGCTTTAAATATAAATACGTAAATAGTCATCGATAAGGCGCTAAAGGGGAGCGTCTTAATAAAAAAAATGTGGTGAACGAAAAAAATTAATAGGTCGTAACTTTGAGAATTCGAATAAAATGACAACTAGTCATAGACAGTGACGATTACATGAACATTTGTTATTTAGGCGCATTGATTCAGCTCATTTGCATATTGGACAGGAAGTGGTGCACAGGCGGTACTTTCTGCATGAGGTTCACGAGTACGTCTCGAAGGAGATAATTTTATCCTTTTGCTGTCTGTAGCACATATTTGAATGTGGAAAGCTACACACCAACGCGAGTAATGGAAACAACGGCCGTGTCCATCGGTTGGGCTACTAAAACCTAGCCCGCATTAGAATTATCGACGAAGTTGCATCCAGGCTATTTCTTATCACTTTCAACATGGCTCAAAATTACAACAACTTGAACCGGGCTCAGTTGAGCTTTGATTATCTTCATACCAATTCGTAAGTATGCCGTACCCACCGAATGTGATCTTAATTTATTAATGCATTTAATGGTTCTGTTGAAGGTTCTACGAGTACACATCTAAAAGACTACAGATGTTCATTCCAAGCTTCAGTGTGGATTTCAATGATTTGCATACCCAACTACAGCAGCAGGAGAAGAATCGCAAGATTTAACCACATATTGACGCTATAGTTCATCGTACCAAACGTGTATCAATAGCTTCATTGCTTGTCATTAGAAGGGTCATGTAACCAATGTATAATATGCATCTTGTTTTTATAAACACCAACACAAATATCATTATGTTCTGGTGACCTCATAAGCCAGACTGGATGTACCCTTTCATACCAGGATTCATTACCCACCGAGTGACAGTTAAACTGTGTGAAACCTTCACAACACAGATAATACTGAGATAATGTGAAAACAACTTAAGTGACCGTTGTGGTGATACCAGTATGTATTCATATAATTGATACGATACACCGTCCACAAATATAACAGTTTCAACTGTAGATATGCAGTGTACATAGAACTCATATCATGATGTACATGTCTAGTAATTATATATTCCAAGCTTTCGTTAAAACCACTGGTGTAAATGTGTCGTTTGGCATTCCATTTATATCAGGTGTACATATAAAATGATAACCTCGTCTTCGTCCTTTGGTCCGACTCCAGTGAATTAATAACGGTCGTTATAAAATCAGGAATAAACTATTTACACAACTGAAGTGCTGTCTTCAAATAAAGAGCAGTCTGATGGCTGTCTCCTGCTCCTTAGAATTTTTAGTGAAAACGTTAATATATTTTTTTATATGCATCATTGCTACTAGAGATAGAAATAATTATTTTTCATCATACCCAAATTGTAAAATTTTTGTCAAAATGTCTATGTTTTCTCAGAGTTGTCCGGGGCCTATGTGACTAGCTTATTTTATACATGGAGAAAACATATTTTTTCTGGTATTTGACATAGATAGGTCTCGTAACATTAGCAGATATTTGTTATAATCATTTGGTTTGGACCGTTGTCAAATCATGCAACCATTTTTCATAGTTATTTCAGTGAATTTAATCTTGGTCTAGTGGTATCTTAATGTGAAAAAATTAAGAGCCAGAGACAAGTTCAATTGTACCCAGAACATTTTTGCAGAAATAGATTTAACAATGTATACTATACCATACAAATATGCATAGGTAATTTAAAAAAAATGGGAATGTGATGGTGTAATTGATGGCAAGCTCTCCAGCCTTGGGCTTACAAGTGTTTATCTGCTCTGTATGTTCTGGAAATGGTTACATGTCTGATAAATCACCAGCAGGGTCCAGTTATAGGTGAGTGTGTGTGTGGTTTGTCTTCATTATGTCCTGATGTGTTTAAATACCAATGTGCTTGTTTACGCCATGTTTAACTCGTTTAACCCTGAAGACACATTTGAACTCTTCCAATTTAAAGGTTGGAAAAGTCCATTCAGAAAGTTCATGGGTGAATGAGTTAAACAACATTTTGTAATAAATTCGCCATAATCAGGAAATAAGAGAAAAGTAAATAGCTGTACTAAGTTCTTCTAAATTGTTAATATGTTCCACCAAGTTTTGTAGCGTGTAACCTTAAGGCCTTAAAAATATGGAGTTCAGTGTTCAAATTTAAAAGTATGGAGTTCAGTGTTCAAACTTAAAAATATGGAGTTCACTGTTCAAACTTAAAAATATGGAGTTCAGTGTTCAAACTTAAAAATATGGAGTTCAGTGTTCAAACTTAAAATATGGAGTTCAGTGTTTAAACTTAAAATATGGAGTTCAGTGTTCAAACTTAAAGTATGGAGTTCAGTGTTCAAACTTAAAATATGGAGTTCAGTGTTTAAACTTAAAATATGGAGTTCAGTATTCAAACTTAAAATATGGAGTTCAGTGTTCAAACTTAAAATATGGAGTTCAGTGTTCAAACTTAAAGTATGGAGTTCAGTGTTCAAAGTTCTCTACCCAGATCTCTCAAACGTTTTGAGCCATATTAAGAAATATCTATACGTAATAAAAAAATTGACATGCATATATCCCATCCCAAATTTAAACCTCTAGAGTAGAGTAAAGTGGTTGTGGTATTGAGTTATACATTTATTGATGTGAGTAATAAAATACCAATCAACCAAGTCTGTTCCTTTTAAGTAAAAAAAAAATGGCAATACATGCATTTTGTTAAAGCTTAATCCGCTTACATCTTGTCTATAGCTAGTTGCAGGTATATAAAATTACCTTTTATCATACAAAAAACATTGTTTATTGCAGTACGTGTGTTTATAATTAGTTACTATGCAAATATAATTAATTAGAATATTGAAATAATTTTGGTTAAGTATATGTCAGACATATTGAAAAAATGTAACAGTTGCTGAAACTTGCATGAAAGAATGATTTTGTTTGTCTTGGAAAGGTTATAAAACAAATTATTCGTCATTTGGTTATGTTTCTGGTCTTATTATTCTTGGCAGGTATTTGATATGTTGTGAAAGTGTCTTTGTTTTTCTACAAAATATTTTTAACTATCGTGTTGGAAATGAAATTACCCAGTTAACCTGCTTTATCTGTGTGGTGCCCATATATTAAGTTTCTGTAGTTTCTTTAATGTTTCATGTATATCATGTTTTACACAACTCATTCACCCCTGAAATTTCATAATGAACTATTCCAAGCTTTGAATTGGAAGAGTTCAAATGTGTCTTCAAGGGTGAATGCGTTAATAATTCGTCCCATCTTAGTAAACCTTTATCTGTGTGGTGCCAAAATAAATTACCGGTTTGAAGTATCTGTAGTATCATTAATGATGTGTTCAATGATGATAATATGTACTGCACTTATCCAGCAATAAGCCCATGTCTTGTAATAAGCCCACCCATAACTATTGCAGTTCAGAAGAAATGCCTTCATATGTTCACTCATTGTCCTGTAATTAACCCAACCACTTGCATGGGGTCAAAGTTGATATGTTGTCCTCCTGGGCTTGTTACAGGATAAATACAGTGCAACAACTTGTATGCAATTTTATAAAAGTAATTTATACCCAATGTGCAGTAACATATAAATATATACATGTACTACATTTTACCTGTAATAATGATATTAATGTGTACAACAACTAATGTAAACAACGTTATACTGATAATAAGCCCGTGCTCACTATTTAGCCCATGTCTTCAGTAAACTGATTCTGGAAGAGGATCACATCTGTATAGGTCTTTTCTGCATGTACAGTCAGTCTTAGTTCATTTTACTTGTTGTCAGAGTTTATTATCAAAATCAATTTGTTTGGAATGCATAAAAAGAAACAAAAAGTGTCGTGTAAACTTCCCACTTCTGTGTATTGTCTTTATTCATCAACATTTATAATAAACATTGATTAAAACAACTGTGAATGGTATAGTTAGTCCAAGTTTAACAAAGTGTTAAGCCTATTAGTCTTCGTCAGACCCTTTTAAACCTGGTTGGTGCTGTAATTCTGTCTACATCAGACCCTTTTAAACCTGGTTGGTGCTGTAATTCCGTCTTCGTCAGACCCTTTTAAACCTGGTTGGTGCTGTAATTCCGTCTACATCAGACCCTTTTAAACCTGGTTGGTGCTGTAATTCTGTCTACATCAGACCCTTTTAAACCTGGTTGGTGCTGTAATTCCATCTACATCAGACCCTTTTAAGCCTGGTTGGTGCTGTAATTCCCCATGTTCAGATTACTACATACAACTACTGAGGACAGAATGACATGTAAATGTCACTTACGGAAAAATTGTATGATGTCTTAATTAGGTCATAAATATTGACCATTAAACTGATGTAATGTTGACTTAAAATGAAACTGATTTATTGTGTTTGCAAATAATTATTGTGTTGTTTTCAGATAATCATAGAAATGGGAATAATAATTATGTAAAGGGTGTATTTATACTGCTGTTAAATAAAGATGGCAAGCTCGCTGTGTTTGTTGTATTTAAGCACTATTCACTGAACAACATTAATATATAATATATAAAGTCCAGGACTTTTAATATCCAAGTTTCTAGTAGATTATGTAATAACAAGATAATACATCTACAGACTAGATAGAATAGCAGAATATATATTGGTTAACAAATTATCTACATGAAAGGATATCTAAGGTAGTGCATCTACCTGCTGGTGTTCTGGCTAGTAAATAGAATACACCCGGCTATTGGAATAGACTTTATAAAGACAAGTGAGAATTAGGTGGCTACAAACAATATATTTTTGTAGAAAATAAATTAAATGCAGGCTGGTGAGAACAGAATATCTACCGGCTTGTTGAAATATCGGCTTATTGGGAGAATATATTCTAGTTGAAATAATCGGGCTACTTAACATCTTCATGCTGTTATTTAGCTACAGACAGACTAGAAAAAATAGCTCGTGTTAAACTATTTACATGAAATTTCATATAACATCTAGGTAAGTAGGGATTAAAAAGTAACAGATGCTGTCTTTTGATATATTGATGAAGGAATAGAAAAATCTTAAGGGGGCGGGGTGGGGGGATTAGTAACTATTACATCCTTTCAACAGATATATTTTCTAACTTTATGATAAAGGAGCATATAACTGGTAAAATGTACATAACGGTCTACCAGAAATAAACGGTAGATAATGTTATAACAAATACACCAGGAAATGATTGACCTGTTCCCCCTCCTGTTTTCAGAACTACCCATGAGTTTTTGTTCGGTGCACTTGCAGAGTTGGTGGACAATGCCAGGTAAGTCATTTTGTATACAATTTCGATCAGGAAAAAATAAAGCCTTTCATACACATGTAAATTTATAACATTTAAAGGCAATTTCGCTCCTGGGGTGGGTGGTAATATATTTTAACAAATATACAGGGTTAGCAATTTCAACATTAAAAAAGTAGGTTATGTGCACAGTGTTAAACAGCATGATGTGCTGGTGTTTTAGTGGAGAGCAGAAACTGATGTTATCAATTGTGATAAAATTGTAATGTGCATTCGGAAATACTTATTTTCTGGATATGAATATCTTTTGGGACTTGATAAAATGTTTGTCCAAAGCAGTGGATTATGTTAAATTGGCTCAATTAGCTCAGTAGGTACCCGAGATTCGAGTGCTACTAAGCATCCCGATATGAATAACCTTGACCTGATTTCAAGATCAAAGTGTTGAAATATGTTGAAAACTGCGAACACCATTTAAAGAAACACATGGTCTTTAAAATAGTTTTGATCTCCATCCTTTATCTATGTACCTGCTTTCTAAGTGTAAGAGATGCACAATTATGCTGCCAGGATTGGTGCAAAGGTCTGACCCCATTCATGGGAAATCAAGCAATGGGTCATAATATGGAAAAAGTTGAGATTCCCACCCAGTAACAAGATATACCATTGCTGGGCATGGTAGATTCCCATCCAGTAACACTATATACCATTGCTGGGCATGGTAGATTTCCACCCAGTAACAATATATATATACCGTTGCTGGGCATGGTAGATTCCCACCCAGTAACACTATATACCATTGCTGGGCATGGAAGATTCCCACCCAGTAACAATATTTACCATTGCTGGGCATGGTAGATTCCTGCCCAGTAACAATATATACCATTTCTGGGCATGGTAGATTCCCATCCAGTAACACTATATCCCATTGCTGGGCATGGTAGATTTCCACCCAGTAGCAATATATATATACCGTTGCTGGGCATGGTAGATTCCCACACAGTAACACTATATACCATTGCTGGGCATGGTAGATTCCTGTCCAGTAACAATATATACCATTGCTGGGCATGGTATATTCCTGCCCAGTAACAATATATACCATTGCTGGCCATGGTAGATTCCCACCCAGTAACACTATATACCATTGCTGGGCATGGAAGATTCCCACCAAGTAACAATATTTACCATTGCTGGGCATGGTAGATTCCTGCCCAGTAACAATATATAATTGCTGGGCATGGTAGATTTCCACCCAGTAACAATATATACCATTGCTGGGCATGGTAGATTCCCATCCAGTGACACTATATACCATTGTTGGGCATGGTAGATTCCCACCTAGTAACAATATATACCATTGCTTGGCATTGTAGATTCCCACCCAGTAACAATATATACCATTGCTGGGCATGGTAGATTCCTGCCCAGTAAAAAGATATACCATTGCTGGGCATGGTAGATTCCCACCCAGTAACAAGATATATACCATTGCTGGGCATGGTAGTATTCTACCCAGTAATAATTTATACCATTGCTGGGCATGGTAGATTCCCACCCAGTAACACTATACCATTGCTGGGCATGGTAGATTCCTGCCCAGTATGGTAGATTCCCACCCAGTAACAATATATACCATTGCTGGGCATGGTAGATTCCAACCCAGTAACAAGATATATACCATTGCTGGGCATGGTAGTATTCTACCCAGTAACAATTTATACCATTGCTGGGCATGATAGATTCTCACCTAGTAACAATATATACCATTGCTGGGCATGGTAGATTTCCACCCAGTAACAATATATACCATTGCTGGGCATGATAGATTCCCACCTAGTAACAATATATACCATTGCTGGGCATGGAAGATTCCCACCCAGTAACACTATATACCATTATGGTAGATTCCCATCCAGTAACAATATATACCATAAGATATACCATTGCTGGGCATGGTAGATTCCAACCCAGTAACAAGATATATACAATTGCTGGGCATGGTAGTATTCTACCCAGTAATAATTTATACCATTGCTGGGCATGGTAGATTCCTGCCCAGAAACACTATATACCATTGCTGGGCATGGTAGATTCATGGTAGATTCCCACCCAGTAACACTATAGGTAGATTCCCATCCAGTAACACTATATACCATTGCTGGGCATGGAAGATTCCCACCAAGTAACAATATATACCATTGTTGGGTATGGTAGATTTCCGCCCAGTAACAATATGTACCATTGCTGGGCATGGTAGATTCCCACCCAGGAACACTATATACCATTGCTTGGCATGGAAGATTCCCACCAAGTAACAATATATACCATTGTTGGGTATGGTAGATTTCCGCCCAGTAACAATATGTACCATTGCTGGGCATGGTAGATTCCTGCCCAGAAACACTATATACCATTGCTGGGCATGGTAGATTACTGCCCAGTAACAATATATACCATTGTTGGGCATGGTAGATTCCCGCCCAGTAACAATATATACCATTGCTGGGAATGGTAGATTCCCGCCCAGTAACAATATATACCATAACTGGGCAGGGTAGATTCCCATCCAGTAACAATATATACCATAACTGGGCATGGTAGATTCCCATCCAGTAACACTATATACCATTGTTGGCATGGTAGATTCCAATCCAGTAACAATATATACTTCTCACCTAGTAACAATATATACCATTGCTGGGCATGGTAGATTCATGGTAGATTCCCACCCAGTAACACTATATACCATTGCTTGGCATGGAAGATTCCCACCCAGTAACAATATATACCATTGTTGGGTATGGTAGATTCCCGCCCAGTAACAATATGTACCATTGCTGGGCATGGTAGATTCCCATCCAGTAACACTATATACCATTGTTGGGCATGGTAGATTCCTGCCCAGCAACAATTTATACCATTGCTGGCCATGGTAGATTCCCATCCAGTAACACTATATTCCATTGCTGGGCATGGAAGATTCCCACCCAGTAACAATAGATACCATTGTTGGGTATGGTAGATTCCCTCCCAGTAACAATATGTACCATTGCCGGGCATGGTAGATTCCCATCCAGTAACACTATATTCCATTGCTGGGCATGGTAGATTCCCATCCGGTAACAATATATACCATTGCTTGGCATGGAAGGTTCCCACCCAGTAACAATATAGACCATTGTTGGGTATGGTAGATTCCCTCCCAGTAACAATATGTACCATTGCCGGGCATGGTAGATTCCCATCCAGTAACACTATATTCCATTGCTGGGCAGGGTAGATTCCTGCCCACCCAGTCACACTATATACCATTGCTGGGCAATATACCATTGCTGGGCATGGTAGATTCCTGCCCAGTAACAATTTATACCATTGCTGGGCATGGTAGATTCCTGCCAAGTAACAACATATACCATAACTGGGCATGGTAGATTCCCGCCCAGTAACAATATATACCATTGCTGGGCATGGTAGATTCCCGCCCAGTAACAATTTATACCATTGCTGGGCATGGTAGATTCCAATCCAGTAACAATATATACCATTGATGGGCATGGTAGATTCCCACCCAGTAACAATATATACCATTGTGGGACAAAATACCATTGCTGGGCATGGTAGATTCCCACCCAGTAACAATATATACCATTGTGGGCATGGTAGATTCCCACCCAGTAACAATTTATACCATTGCTGGGCATGGTAGATTCCAGCCAAGTAACAACATATACCATAACTGGGCATGGTAGATTCCCATCCAGTAACAATATATACCATTGTTGGGCATGGTAGATTACCACCCAGTAACACTATATACCATTGCTGGGCATGGTAGATTCCAATCCAGTAACAATATATACCATTGTTGGGCATGGTAGATTCCCACCCAGTAACACTATATACCATTGCTGGGCATGGTAGATTCCTGCCCAGTAACAATATATACCATTGTTGGGCATGGTAGATTCCCGCCCAGTAACAATATATACCATAACTGGGCATGGTAGATTCCCCCCCAGTAACACTATATACCATTGCTGGGCATGGTAGTTTCCAATCCAGTAACAATATATACCATTGTTGGGCATGGAAGATTCCCACCCAGTAACACTATATACCATTGTTGGGCATGGTAGATTCCCGCCCAGTAACAATATATACCATAAATGGGCATGGTAGATTCCCACCCAGTAACACTATACCATTGCTGGGCATGGTAGATTCCCACCCAGTAACAATATATACCATTGTTGGCATGGTAGATTCCCACCCAGTAACACTATATGCCATTGCTGGGCATGGTAGATTCCCACCCAGTAACAATATATACCATAACTGGGCATGGTAGATTTCCACCCAGTAACAATATATGCCATTGCTGGGCATGGTAGATTCCTGCCCAGTAACACTATATACCATTGCTGGGCATGGTAGTTTCCAATCCAGTAACAATATATACCATTGTTGGGCATGGAAGATTCCCACCCAGTAACACTATATACCATTGTTGGGCATGGTAGATTCCCGCCCAGGAACAATATATACCATTGTTGGCATGGTAGATTCCAATCCAGTAACAATATATACCATTGTTGGCATGATAAAAAATAATAAAAGTGTTGGAGGCTATGACATATATACCACAAAACCAATGTTCACCCAATAAAGTGATGAAGAATGTGGGTGGAAAATGATGTTATTATCTCCCCTTATATCATTGATTGGCATATATCATAATGTTGTTTACATAACATTAAAGTTGAATGTCTGAAGGTATCGTCAATGCTTGAAAATGTTGACTTAAAGCAACCCTTTGCCATGTTGATTGTGCTTGTCTACACGCACACTTTACAGACTTGGAAGAGCAGATTTTATTTTCACCAACAATATATATAAGAAGTGTAAAAATTTCCCGGATAATTTCTGCAGTATTCTCCAAAAATTAATGAATGCAAAAATCATGTAAGTCAATTTTTTCCACAAAATATCATGGTTTCTCATTTCTGTGTTACATTTTTCCGTAGTCACAAAGCACATGCCCTGATACAAAAGACATAGAAAAATCACTAGTGATTTTGTAAATGATATTATAACATGTTTTTTGTCACAAGGAAGATTAATGTGGTGGAGGATCCTGTTGCTAAGTTACAGTTTTAATGGCACTAGTGGCCCTACCGTCATTACAAACTGTCGTCATATGACTGTAGATTGTAGATATAAACGCAGGTCAGGAATGTTATCTGACGGCAGCAGGACTCCACCCTACAAGTCAAACCACATAATACAACTGGTGTAATTGATGTGTTTTACAGGGATGCCTCGGCTACTAGGATGGACATTTTTACAAGTGAGTATTGATCTGTCTCCGCTGTATTATTTTTGACAAAAAGTCATTTATACATTTTTTATTGATTTTGTGCATAGTTGATCTACTTCTGGCGGTGTCCACAATATATATATTGATTTAATTAAAACGTGTCTGTCATCAATTTAGTGTTCCTTGAATAATTTATAATTTGATTATATTGATGAAATTAGTCACAGCCTACCTGTGACTAGTCTTTGAATCTCATTGATGTATAGAGCCCAAGGAATGTATGAGTGGGTCATAAGGGATGTTACCCATCATGTACATCACTTTACTTTAGTATTATGCGGTGCTTGCTGTATAGTTGTGTCACTTTTTAATAGTTTTTGTATATGTAGGGCTTGACAAGCCATTTCCTTCGGAGAAATTCAGCTTTATTTTACTGTTATTTTAGGAAAATATCTAAAAATTTAAGAAAAACACAGTTTTTCAAGCTATTTGATGCAGATTTTCAGATATAAGATTTTAATGTCATCCGTTTGGTTCTTTGCCATCCGTCTTTACCTGTTGTTTGGTACCCTGTGGTATACCTTAAACTCCTGTCCGACTTGAGCTCCGTGTTTAAGCAGGAAAAATAACATATGAAGTGAAGGTATCAGTTGGGACCTTTTTAGTCTTCTGATTTGGTTCCTTTTTACAGCTTTTAGCCTTTTTCTCTAAAAAGATTTGAATTGTACATCAGAGAAAAATGTCATACATCATTGAGCGGTCAAAATGGTCACATGGTAATTCTATAACAATTCAAGTGGGCCATAAAGATTTTTGGAGAGGCCTGAAATACATCTTGACATGATTGAATGGTGTTGCTGACTGTAAAATTATTATCTTCCTGGTCGGATTTTACCACTATGTTGATAAAGTATTATTTAAGGAGCTACATTTATAATGTAGTCTTTTCAAAGGCCCTCACAGCAACACATTTGTTGTGTTGTTTGTTACTGACCTGCTGCAGCAGTACTGAATATAGGGGTTTAGTATAAAATATAGATAGCTCGGCCTCCAGCATCGATGCCAGTACTTCATACAGATCCACTATATTTAGTTAGAGAATCAGTAACAATAACAGAAGTACCGAGGTAAAAGTGTACTGGTGTTTATTGTGTACTTTCCACAGAACATCAACTCATTTGAAGTCATATATTTAAATATTTGACCTGTGATAATTTATTTCCATCATAATACCATGTGTGAGAAACATGGACATATAATACCTTGTGCATCATGTACAACAGCTAGCAGTGTATGTATCCTGTTCTGTACCCCAGGCTCCTGTCTCTGAGCAGTGTATAGTATCCTGTTCTGTACCCCAGGCTCCTGTCTGTGGTGACTTGAGCTCGGTATTTGGGCAGGAAGACCAACACGTGAAGTTGTGAGATCAGTTGGCACTAGTGCAGTCTTCTGGTTCGATCTCTTTCACACAGCTTTGAACACTAAAATAACCATGCCTTGTGTATCTGTTGGTGTAATACAATGCCCCCGTACTTTAAATCAGTGTTATCTGGGCCATATGATACTTAAAAGTAGTCTTTCAAATAATTCAGAACTATTTTGGTGTATTTCCAGTCCAAGATGAAGAACTGCGGGGTGAATACATGCTGTGTTTTCTGGATGACGGTGAAGGAATGGATCCAAGTATGTTAACAAACAAGTTCAAATCTGTATTAGTGACCAGAATTCATTCTGTAAATATAAACAAACTGTATGTAGGTCAAAGGTCATGTTTGCTGAAATTTTCATTTTAGAAGAATTTTGTTAGCTTAACTCATTCACCCCTGAAGACACATTTGAACTGTTCCGATTCAGAGGTTGGAATAGTTCATTATGAAATTTCAGGGGTGAATGAGTTAATGGTTACTTCCTTTGATACTGTTAAAGTGGAAGGTCATGTGTTTGGAAATTTTTTCGTTGTTATTCTTTAAACTGATATTAGTGTGGAAATTTTCAGGTTGGTTATGGTTTAGAAATATATAAACTCTGTAAAATCTTTACTCTATATAATCTTTACTCTATATATATTACTTTACTCCATATATTCTTTACTCTATATATATATAACATTACTCTATATATATATAACTTTACTCTATATAACTTTACTCTATATATATAACTTTACTCTACATAATCTTTAAAAATGATTGCATGTGGATGCTTTTGTATTTATGTACGATAAACAAAATTTCCACATTAACAGTAAATGACCGGGTAGATGACTAGATTTAAACAAGACACGTAATACTGAAGGATTTTGATTAAAAATCATGGACACAATTTATGGCAGGTTTTCATGTATTGATAAAATTGAAGATAAAACAAGGTTAACACGTATGCAAGTGTTGGAAGAATATTTGTTATATTATTAAAATGCAGTAGTAACCTGATGTTAAATATCAAATGATGTAACAGCTATCTCATTTTGTTCATGGTCTGTGAACATCATCGACCATGATATAAAAACATTACTGGACTGTAACTAAATATCATTTAGTCATCTCGCCATGTAAATTATTTTCCAGGTGATACTTCAGATATTATAACGTTTGGTCGTTCAACAAAGAGGTCGCTAGATAGTCCACTTATTGGAATGTACGGCAACGGTCTGAAATCGTAAGTACTGTATGACCATCTGAAATCCTTAGTACTGTGTGATAGTCTGAAATCCTTAGTACTGTGTGATAGTCTGAAATCCTAAGTACTGTGTGATAGTCTGAAATCGTAAGTACTGTGTGATAGGTCTGAAATCCTAAGTACTTTGCGATAGGTCTAAAATCCTAAGTACTGTGTGATAGTCTGAAATCATAAGTACTGTGTGATAGTCTGAAATCCTAAGAACTGTGTGATAGTCTGAAATCCTAAGTACTGTGTGATAGGTCTGAAATCCTAAGTACTTTGTGATAGGTCTAAAATCCTAAGTACTGTGTGACAGTCTGAAATCCTAAGTACTGTGTGATAGTCTGAAATCGTAAGTACTGTGTGATAGTCTGAAATCCTAAGTACTGTGTGACAGTCTAAAATCCTTAGTACTGTGTGATAGTCTGAAATCGTAAGTACTGTGTGATAGGTCTGAAATCCTAAGTACTGTGTGATAGGTCTGAAATCCTAAGTACTTTGTGATATGTCTAAAATCCTAAGTACTGTGTGACAGTCTGAAATCCTAAGTACTGTGTGATAGTCTGAAATCCTACGTACTGTGTGATAGGTCTGAAATCCTAAGTACTGTGTGATAGGTCTGAAATCCTAAGTACTTTGTGATAGGTCTGAAATCCTAAGTACTGTGTTATAGTCTGAAATCCTAAGTACTTTGTGATAGGTGTAAAATCCTAAGTACTGTGTGATAGGTCTGAAAACCTAAGTACTGTGTGATAGGTCTAAAATCCTAAGTACTGTTTGATAGTCTGAAATCCTAAGTACTGTGTGATAGGTCTGAAATCCTAAGTACTTTGTGATATGTCTAAAATCCTAAGTACTGTGTGACAGTCTGAAATCCTAAGTACTGTGTGATAGTCTGAAATCCTACGTACTGTGTGATAGGTCTGAAATCCTAAGTACTGTGTGATAGTCTGAAATCCTACGTACTGTGTGATAGGTCTGAAATCCTAAGTACTGTGTGATAGGTCTGAAATCCTAAGTACTTTGTGATAGTCTGAAATCGTAAGTACTGTGTGACAGTCTGAAATCCTAAGTGCTGTGTGATAGTCTGAAATCCTTAGTGCTGTGTGATAGGTCTGAAATCCTTAGTACTATGTGATAGTCTGAAATCGTAAGTACTGTGTGATAGGTCTGAAATCCTTAGTACTATGTGATAGTCTGAAATCGTAAGTACTGTGTGATAGGCCTGAAATCCTAAGTACTGTGTGATAGGTCTGAAATCCTAAGTACTGTGTGACAGTCTAAAATCCTAAGTACTGTGTGATAGTCTGAAATCCTTACTACTGTGTGATATGTCTGAAATCCTAAGTGCTGTGTGACAGTCTGAAATCGTAAGTAAAATATACAATGTGTTTTTGACTTTGTTTATGATGGTAAGGAAATGAAATAATTTAGCATGATGTTATTGTTCTAAAATGATTCCTCTACGATGATAACCGTTTGAGATCGTAAATGACGTACAGTATTAAATGGACTTTGGTTATGATGGTAATGGCAATATATAATTTGGTTATGATTGTAAGTTAAAATTGCTGTGCAATATACATATACTTTGGTTATAAAAGCATCGGTCTGAAATCTTCAAAATATAATACAATGTAATTGGGTTAACATTTATATGGTCATGCGTAGAATGCTATATTATAATTTTTACTCTGTTTAATGTGCAATGGCCATCTTAAATTGTAACATTTGTTCCCTAATCTCGAATAAATCGTGATGGTATAATGTGTTTCTGACTGTAGGGGATCCATGAGGATTGGTAATGACTTGATGTTGTTTACTAAGAAGGGCGTGACCATGTCCTGTCTCTTCCTGTCGCGTACCTTCCACGAGGAGGAAGGCATTGATGAGGTAAACCATTTCTCTCTACTGCAGCTGGTGATTGAGAAACTCCAGAAGCCAGAAATGTCCCACTAAAATAACCGCTGTAGTATCCTGTTCTGTACCCCAGGCTCCTGTCTGTGGTGACTTGAGCTCGGTATTTGGGCAGGAAGACCAACACGTGAAGTTGTGAGATCAGTTGGCACTAGTGCAGTCTTCTGGTTCGATCTCTTTCACACAGAAATAACGATGCCTTGTATACATCTGCTGATGTGTTAACGAAGATCTTGTAGTCAAAAAGAAAAAAAAAAGAATTTGGTTTATGTTATATTTCATGTATTATTTCATGTTCCATATTTACAGCACACACTTTTTCTAATTCCGATGTTAATATAGTGGTAAAAAATGATCTCTACCATTCAGATTCCTTCACAGGTTAAATTATAACCTAGGTAGTAATGTGAGTTACGGTTGTATGATCTGCAAAGAGAGTTATCTATGTCACTATCATCAACATAGGCGTACAGTGTACAGATAGTTTGTGAATGACTTGTATACCTTTTAATTATTTGATACTTGAAGGTGATTGTACCTCTGCCATCATTTGATGTCAACACAAGGAACCCAACATTACCCGGACCGAAGGTTTGTAACACTGGACAGCTGGAGCACACAAGATTTCTTGCATTCCTTTTCTGTACAATTCTGGGTTTATGAAAATTATTCACAAATTGTTGTTAATATTTAATTTGATCAGTCCTAACAATATCTAGGAGTTTCTATTAGCATATACATGACAACCTCATTGTTCTTTTTGTAAATTGCTGTACCTCAATAAAAGGTAGCATATTTAGTTTACCTTTCATTTTTGACCTGTGAATTTTTCATAAAGCTTTTTCATAATCAGGTAGACGAATTCAATTTGAATGCCAATTTTCTCTGTCTTTGTTAAGTACAAAAACAAAGCTATTCTGGTAAGATCACTAACTTCAGTAATACTATCAGTTGCACCTTTGTAACAGAACACCAACTAATTGTCCTTATTGATATAGAACACAAGGCTGGAGTAGACATCATTTATGAGCTGAAGTTAATTAACCCCCATCCTCGATGGGTTATGCTCACTTTCGCTCTCTGCACACCTGGAATATGTCATAGCAAAATTGAGCAAAATTTAGTTTACCTTTCATTTTTGACCTGTGAATTTTTCATAAAGCTTTTTCATAATCAGGTAGACGAATTCAATTTGAATGCCAATTTTCTCTTTCTTTGTTAAGTACAAAAACAAAGCTATTCTGGTAAGATCACTAACTTCAGTAATACTATCAGTTGCACCTTTGTAACAGAACACCAACTAATTGTCCTTATTGATATAGAACACAAGGCTGGAGTAGACATCATTTATGAGCTGAAGTTAATTAACCCCCATCCTCGATGGGTTATGCTCACTTTCGCTCTCTGCACACCTGGAATATGTCATAGCAAAATTGAGGCACATGACTAGCTAATTGATTGGTTTCTGGTAAAATAAAACCTGACCAATTGCTAGGCTGATACCTGTCCTTTGAAGATTACAGCGGAGTGACACTTGATACAAAGCCTGTCAATTTCACCGTTACATGACCGACATATTCTTTTGAAGTACGTCAAGGGATCAAACTAGTCTTCTCCTCTCATGCACATGGTGGTGCACACTGAGCCTTCAATTTAGCTATGACATATTCCAGGGGTGAGGTGAGTGAAAGTGAACGTAACCCCTCAAGTATCGAGGATGAGCTACCCCATATTGGTAGAGAAATTCTTCCAGGGTTTTTTTTGTTAAAAAAATTGACAAAAAGCAATTTTTCATGTGAAATAACAACTGATAAACTCTAAAACATATCTTGTCATTTTAATTTTTTGGTTCCTAATATCTTTGAAAAATTGGTTTTAGACCCAATAAGTTTACGATGTAATCATTTAAATGTGTTTTTCAGCATGACTCGGAGATGGAACTGATACTGAAGTACTCGCCATTCACATCAGAGGAGGAATTCTTTGCCCAGTTCGACAAGATCGAGGGCAGCTCAGGAACGCTTGTGATAGTGTATAATATGAAACTGTTAGACAATGGTGAACCTGAGTTAGATATAACGTCAGATAATGAAGATATTCTCTTGGCTAACCCAACGCAGGATTTTGATTCTGATGAAGGGTATGTATACAAAAAATTAACTGCCAGTTCTAGGTAGCAAATAAAATCAACAGCAGGTTTTTGTGATCAACATTTAGCTTGATGTACTCGACTGCATGACAGTTTGATTTTAAAGGAAAATTGACAGCGACAGGAGAATGTGCCCTTTCAAATTAAAATGATGTAACTATTAAATATATGAAGGAAAAAAAGACAATATGTCATAATAAAATATTTTGGACAGATTTTCAGAAATTGCATCGAAAACATTTTTCTGATTTTGAGGTCTTGACCATTTATCATAATTTGCAGATATACTTAAAAATATATTTTGGCTATTTTTGCTAGATTTTGATATTTTTTTTATCTTTATAATTTTCACAAATAGCTAAGCAGCTAAGGGCACTTATCAGAACAAACACTGTACATTGTGTATCAATACATTTGTCTACTAATATAAGTTACTGGGGTAGACCTTTGTATGGACTACATCTTGTACCGACATCCTCATCACAGCCTCATTTCATCAAAATTTGTGTTTACTTTCAGGTTGATGCCAGAGAGAAAATCCTTCAGAGCTTATACATCTATTCTATATGTGGACCCAAGGATGAAAATTTATATACAAGGCAAAAAAGTGCGGACTAAGAAGTTAATGTGTAGTCTATACAAACCTAAGTGTTACAAATACTCCTCAAACCGCTTCAAAACGCGGTCGGAAAACGAAGTGCAACGCGCAAAGGACGAAGCTAAGCAGGCAGAACATAAAGTGAAGGAACTTGAAAGTAAAGCTAAGTGAGTGGTGGATCTTTGTTAACCCTTTCACCACTGTAGACCATAATGGACTTACCCAGATCAATGCATAGTAGAGTCTATTTAAGTTACATAGGGATGAAAGGATTAAAAAATTCAATGATGGAAAATTAGAAAGAGACACTTATGTCATACTTTCAGAATGCATTTTATTCTAGTTTTTGTGCATGTTGTTTTAAATACTAGAGTCACAGCTATTTCTTTTTCCAGATAACTTAATTACTTCAGACAATTAAACATTCGGAAATATATTTATGCACAATTCTATTTCTAGTGCATTTCTCAAAAAATTCTGAATTAGCAAGTTTTACTAAAATATTATGCAATGGTTATAGTTTTGTGAATAATGTCTTTAAACCATTCCTTTTCAGACATTTAGAGAATAAACAAAGTGGGTCTATATCAAAAGATCAAAGAGTAAGTGTTTAACAGTGAAATAATTATTTTTTATCAGAGGTCTCTTTTCCGAAATACCTCTGCTCGTATCAAAACCAAGGACCACAGATCACTGGTTCTGTGTTCTAGCAGTTGATTTTTCAAGAGTCGAGTCAGTAGCAAGCAATAAGAAATCTCAGTGTTACAGTCTCGTAGTCCACGAAAGGACCTCTTCCTTGGAATATATGGAGTGTAAGCATGATTGTGAGGGCAAGGTTACAGTAAGAAGATTATCATTTACCTTACCCACGGCCCTACGTGAGCACCATCTTTCCCCCTTAAGGTAATAGGAGTGTGTCACCATTTCTCAGTAGAATTTCTTCAAATTTTGTAGTTATATTGCTTTAAAGTAAAGAAAATTTTCTGGCCCAAAAAAATTTAGGTTGTCAGAGTTTTAAGGAATTTAAATGGAAATGTATGTAAAAAGGAGTGAATTTTGAAAAAAAAATGAAAGACAATATTTTTACAAAATAATGTCAATAAAAATGATACTGACATGTATTAGTTTTGCATTAATATCAATTTAATAAATGCTGAAATTGTGTAAAATTAATTCTCTATACACAATATAAAAATTGACATTTTATAATAAAACCATATACACATAGTAATTGCAGGTAAGAGTTATCGTTCTTGAAAAACTTCACAGTAGTGAAATAGGTAGCCTGTTTCCTGAAGTACAGAACAACGGACGCATGTGACTCATTGATAAAAAACCACTGAATTAATGCCTGGATTGCTTTGAAATACTTCAATATTGAGAGAACACACTGTTCTGTCAATAATAAACATACAATATTCATCAGTTTAGTATTAAACATTAGAATTTGCGGGAAATTGTGATACCATCTTCCTACATTGGATTTTCAACTAGGGATGTACTTCCTGTTTCTGTTTATCAATACACTCCTATGACCTTAAGTACCTTTGTTAGAATGCAAACTACTGGTCAAGTTCTCTAACAAATGAGCTAAATAGGAAATTCCCTGTATAGTGAATCGGTAATAAGCAGCTGGGTGACTCACCTCTATTATTACACTTTATTTTATATGCTCTATTTCTGAATTGACTTGAAATTTGGTTCCCTAACACTGGGAGTCAACATGGACTAATGACCAGGGTTTATTCAAGCCAGTAGCAAGGAACCCAATTTCATGTCGCCAACAAAGCAAGGGGATATACACGGATCACTCTTGACCGTGTTGTTTTCCCCATACATGGTGTCTGTGTGAAATCTTTTTTTGATGGTGAAACCGCGAATGCCTCATTAAATCAGTTATGGTTCCTTAGATCATACGATCCTGCTTTGATAACTGTGGCAATTCTAGAACTAATACATGCAAAAAGGAACCGACTCACGGAGGTGCGATTTTATCAGTTCAAAACCAATCGGTTGCAAGGCATAATGCTTTTATTATCATACGACTTTCTACAAATGCCTATAATATTATTTTCAAAATCAGTTTTGGCTCAAATTGGAAATAAAAATTGTCTCTGCTTGCTTGTTGGGTTTGCTATGATTTATTGGGATTTTTTGAGCATGGTAATATATAAGTTGTTACAATGATAATGAACGTGTGATTTTCCTATTTTACAGACAGAACTTCGGAAGGCACAACAGCAGGCAGCGGAGTACAGACGAATAGCAGAATACAAGAAACAGGTGGCAGAGAGAAAGGCAAAGGAGGTGTCAGTCAAGGTGGTCAGCTAGCTATCATTATAGGCCTGTAGTAGAGTAAAGACGAATAGCAGAATACAAGAAACAGGAGGCAGAGAGAAAGGCAAAGTAGGTGTCGGTAAAGGTGGGCAGCTAGCTATCATTATAGGCTTGTAGTAGAGTACAGAAGAATAGCAGAATACAAGAAACAGGTGGGAGAGAGAAAGGCAAAGAAGGTGTCGGTAAAGGTGGTCAGCTAGCTATCATCATAGGCTTGTAGTAGAGTACAGACGAATAGCAGAAGACAAGAAACAGGTGGCAGAGAGAAAGGCAAAGTAGGTGTCAGTTAAGGTGGTAAGCTAGCTATCATTATAGGCTTGTAGTAGAGTACAGACGTATAGCAGAATACAAGAAACAGGTGGCAGAGAGAAAGGCAAAGTAGGCGTCGGTAAAGGTGGTCAGCTAGCTATCATTATCGTCTTGTAGTAGAGTACAGACAAATAGCAGAATACAAGCAACAGGTTGAAGAGAGAAAGGCAAAGTAGGTGTCGGTAAAGGGGGTCAGCTAGCTATCATTATAGGCTTGTAGTAGAGTACAGACAAATAGCAGAATACAAGAAACAGGAGGCAGAGAGAAAGGCAAAGTAGGTGTCGGTACAGGTGGTCAGCTAGCTATCATTATAGGCTTTTAATTGAGTACAGACAAATAGCAGAATACAAGAAACAGGGGGCAGAGAGAAAGGCAAAGTAGGTGTCAGTCAAGGTGGTCATCTAGCTATCATTATAGGCCTGTAGTAGAGTAAAGACGAATAGCAGAATACAAGAAACAGGGGGCAGAGAGAAAGGCAAAGTAGGTGTCCGTTAAGGTGGTCAGCTAGCTATCATTATAGGCTTGTAATAGAGTCCAGACAAATAGCAGAATACAAGAAACAGGAGGCAGAGAGAAAGGCAAAGTAGGTGTCAGTTAAGGTGGGCAGCTAGCTATCATTATAGGCTTGTAGTAGAGTACAGACGTATAGCAGAATACAAGAAACAGGTGGCAGAGAGAAAGGCAAAGTAGGTGTCGGTAAAGGTGGTCAGCTAGCTATCATTATAGGCTTGTAGTAGAGTACAGACAAATAGCAGAATACAAGAAACAGGTTGAAGAGAGAAAGGCAAAGTAGGTGTCGGTCAAGGTGGTCAGCTAGCTATCATTATAGGCTTGTAGTAGAGTACAGACAAATAGCAGAATACAAGAAACAGGTGGCAGAGAGAAAGGCAAAGTAGGTGTTGGTAAAGGTGGTCAGCTAGCTCTTATTATAGGCTTGTAGTAGAGTACAGACGAATAGCAGAATACAAGAAACAGGTGGCAGAGTGAAAGGCAAAGTAGGTGTCGGTCAAGGAGGTCAGCTAGCTCTTATTATAGGCTTGTAGTAGAGGACAGACGTATAGCAGAATAAAAGAAACAGGTGGCAGAGTGAAAGGCAAAGTAGGTGTCAGTTAAGGTGGTCAGCTAGCTCTTATTATATGCTTGTAGTAGAGTACAGACAAATATCAGAATACAAGAAACAGGCGGCAGAGAGAAAGGGAAAGTAGGCGTCAGTCAAGGTGGTCAGCTAGCTATCATTATAGGCTTGTAGTAGAGCTTCATAGAAGTGATATCCCGCTTATAGAGTCAATTTAACCTAATAGGAAATATTCATAGGTTTGTCTAGTCTCTCAGGATCAGCATAACAAAAAAATACTTATTTGAAAGATGTTAATATATATTATTGAATGCATTATATAAATTGTTCTAATTTGAAAGGAACGAAAATGACTTGCAGATCATTATTAAAATTTTACAAGGTCATTTGAATGCCATGAAATATTTTCTAATATGAAAAAATAAATTGTTAATAATTTTCTCAATTCAAAAACATCAGAAAATTCTCTGTCATGCAATTTTTGATACACTTGATTGCTGATTAACAAAAAAACCCTAAATTTATGTACAACATTGAGGAGGCGATATTAATTTGAATTTCTGAAGTTGCCTCCCTTTAAGTGTATTATTACTGCCATTGAATTTGTGAAATACAGATGTTCATGTGACTACTGATCTATTTACATCCAGATCACTAAAGGATCCGAAGATACTGAATTTTGTGTTCGGAATCAATCTTGAGAATCGGAATCATGATGGTATATTTGTATACAACTGCAGTCGACTTATCAAAATGTATGAGAAAGTAGGTCCTCAGACTGACGGTGGTGTGTAAGTATTATTGAATGTCCTCCTACATACATGTTAGAACTATCTGTAGTGACCTGTCTTGCTTGTAGCACAAATTTGTTATACTAGGATACCATAAAAACATGAAGTATTGTTGTCAACATCAGCCCTTCTCAAGTTATCTCAACCATGGTCAAGTACTTTGTGTAGCTATAGCAGATAAAAAATACTTTTAGATTCTTCCTTCCAGATGTATTGTGTAGTAGAATGAAATTTTGTAGACAACATCAGCTCTTTTAAGCCATAGTCAAGTTTGTATATATCTGACAAGATTTTCGATGCTTCCTTCCAGATAGTGTAGTATTCTGAACATACTTTGTTACTCAATGGGTCTTCTAGAATTGCAGAATTGATTCAGGAAACTGCTCTTTTTTAACCATAGTTGAAGATATATATACCTGACAAAATACTAGATGCTGTCTTAGACTTTTTATAAGTTTTTGATTACTCGATGATTACTTTGGACAGTAACTGACGGGATGAATTCAGGAGAAATATCCGACAAATATGTGTAATATGTAGTTATACCAGGTTTTGAATGTGTTCGATGCATTAACCTATGAATCTACTTCCATGAGAATATTGTTAAGGTAATAGGATTGTGTCACCATTTCTCAGTAGAATTTCTTCAAATTTTGTAGTTATAATGCTTTAAAGTAAAGAAAATTTTCTGCCACAAAAAAAATATAGGTTGTCAGAATTTTAAGGATTTTAAATGGAAATTTAGGTAAAAAGGAGTGAATTTTGAAAAAAAAATGAAAGACACAATATTTTTACAAAATAATGTCAATAAAAATGATACTGACATATATTAGTACGGCATTAATGTATATCAATTTAATAAATGCTGAAATTGTGTAAAATTAATTCTCTATACACGATATAAAAATTGACATTTTATAATAAACCATATACATAGTAATTGCAGGTAAGAGTTATCGTTCTTGAAAAACTTCACAGTAGTGAAATAGGTAGCCGGTTTCCTGAAGTAAAGAAAAAATGGACACATGTGATTCATTGATAAAAAAACCTAAATTAATGCCTGGATTGCTTTGAAATACTTTAATATTGAGAGAACACACTGTTCTGTCAATAATAAACATACAATATTCATCAGTTTAATATTAAACACTAGAATTTGTGGAAATTGTGATACTCTCTCCCTACATTGGATTTTCAACTAGGGATGTACTTCCTGTTTCCGTTTATCAATACACTCCAATGACCTTAAGGAATTGCCTGATACATAAAGTAAAGTAAATAGGTACATGGTATAAAACTGTAAGAATTGTTTTTTACATTTCATTATGAATGATATTCATTTCGTCACTTTTTTGGTAAACTTGCAGGTTCTGTAGTGGTGTAGTAGGGGTTGTGGATATTCCCTACTTGGTGTTAGAACCCACACATAACAAACAAGACTTCGCCGACGCTAAAGAATACCGACACATGATGAAGGCGATGGGTGAACACATGACGCAGTATTGGAAGGACATTGGGATAGGTATGTCACCGAGACAGGCTCAATTTCATTTCATTTCAACAAATTTTATTGTTCAATAACAAATGGATTGGACAACAGACAAGCCTATACAAGTCCTCTCCAATAGGTACCACATATATACAAGTCAGAATGGAAAAAGTTAATAGTAGATTTCATACGGACAATGATGTATTTATTTAAAGAGAAATGGATTTAGTATGAACACATTGATGGTAGTATTTACACAGACTTTCAGAGAGTAGATCAATAACTTCTGGTAACATATAATAATTATAATGTAAAATCTACTCCAGCATTTACAGACTTGTATACCCACAAGCCTACATGTCACACACACCCTCGCACACACAACACATCTATAGAAGATGTATACTCAGCCTTCGTAACTACAGGCTCAATCATCAGACACAGGATAATTATATATGGAAATTGATAAAAGTTCTTGAACTTCAACTTTTGTGGAAAAAATATGAACTGATCAGTTCCTTAAAATTATGAAAATGGTTATTGCACTAGTAAGTGTGGGGTTTGTTTTGTGTTAACATGTGGTATTAATAATTCACTATCACATTAATTATTGCTTTGCAGGAGGTAGTTTTCAGTGGTAAGATATAAATATACTGGTGATACCAGGATCAGTAGTATTGTACGTGTGACAGGTTTTATTTGGATCTTAGTGACGGATCATTTGAAAATATTTGAACTTGAATCAAATCAAAACAAAACTGAAAACATATATGTCTAAGTAATTATTTAGTGGAATTTGAAAATATTTAAAAGTGGACTTGGTTCCTTTTAATGAATCGGTATAGTTTGCAGACACGACACTGTAATTTCAAATTTCTGGATGGGGGAGTAATTGCATCTTCCCTTCATGTTAAGGCCATCATAATTATGAATTTCGTGATGGTGAAATTTATATGACTCTTTGGCACAGTACAATGTCTTTCACACAGGATAATTGTGGATTATTAAGTTCTAAACTGTTCAACTACTTAAAGTAGTTACCACAAGCTAAAACTTCAAAGTTATATAGTGCTGCAAATTTTGTGGTAATGTTTCAATATTTAACAAGCATAGAATGAGAATGTTTTCAAATGATCTGCCCCCAGTTTGCTGTGTTTGTTCCGTTCACTGATTGTTCTAACCCTTTGTTTTGTTTAGCACAACAAGGGGTAACAAAGTTCTGGTAAGTTATATCACTAGATAAACTCCCTGTACATCCAAATAGGTCCTCCTATATCCAGCTCTACTAAATCTTTATTCAAAATTTATGTTTCAAAGCTGACAGTGCAAGTTAGAAAGCTTTAAATTGAGATTTTAAAAAAGAAACGTTTCAGAATAACTTTGAGATGTGGTGACCATCTCTCCTAGTCATCATATCCAAAGATTAACAACAGGTTCGTTGGTGCTTTGGGTTGTATTGGTGAGGTAATAACGAACAAGTGTAATATTAGTTTAATAAACCATTAGCCTAATATTTCATTTACAACTAACTCAAAACTGAATTAGACAACTTAAAGAAATGAACATCTGACAAAGGCTGAATGCCTACCTTATAAATCGTGCCAATATTTCAACAGTTTATAGCAACATTAATAAGTTCCTGTGAAAAACTACACTATTTCCATTTATATCCATCAGAATGTCGCCTATATCAAATCTTACACCATTGAAAAAACATGTTTTGTATGTGTTTTAAACAGTATTTATAATTAAGGCTTAAAAAGTATAGCAAATACTCATGTATGGTGGTCACTATACACAGACTGTACAAGTGTCATATGTTTTATTTATATGATATAAATATTTGGGGATACTTGAGAAATAGTGCCAGAAGGATTACCGATAGATTGATAATTGTTACCAAGTATAGCAAAAGCTAAAATGTTGGTGCTTCCTTAGATATGATTATCGCGGGAGGTCGCCATTGGGGAACATCACAAAACCAGCCTGAAAAATGCTACTTAATTTTATTTTATTTTTCAAATCCTCAGTTAAAACCTGTTTAACACCTGTGTAAAACACTGTCAGTTTAAACTGAAAAAATGCAGGTTTTCTTTCACTTTTCCATAGATAGAGATATAGAAATGGATATTGTTTGTCCCTTTAGACTGTTGAAATTTAGTGGCTTTCTCACCTGGTTTCTTTCTCCCTCAGACTGACTTTGGATTTATTATAGCAGTATTCTGTACAACACTTCACTGTAATACAAATACTGTAGCTACAAACACTAAAGATAATCAGATAATGAATTAAATTGATTGATATTTTATTAACAGGAATGATTTTCATTTTTATGATTTTAATGTTTAGACCAACGCACATTCTTCTGACAGATAAATCAGACCTCCGAGACATGATCGTATAGAGATGATTATTCTAGGAACTGAAATAAATTTTATATGCAAGGGGAAATAACTCTTAGTCATATAGTCATAATAAGAATGCCTGTGAATAACTTGACTAATCTACCCTTGCACAATTGACATGTCTATATGAAAAATTATGTGATGTCCAGCTTAATTGTTTTTCTTGAAATCTTTTTATTACCTTGTATATGTGTTGAGTTTCCATGGTAATAGCATTGTTTTTTGTGTACAGGGAGAACTTTGGATATGTAAGTCAGAGATGGAGAGACCCTCCCTCTGAGGACAACAAGTACGCAAGGAAAAGGGCCATGCAGATCAATGTCACATTACAATGTGGTAGGTTATTGTCTTAAAAATGGAACCTTGGGCTTAAAAAGCATTTTATTGACAGGTTGCCAGTGTGACCAGAAAATTAGCTTTTTGTTAAAAAAAAACACCTAACTGGCCAATACAGTAAAACCCGCGAACTTGAACTCTTCGGGTCCAGATCAATAGTTTGAGGAAGACATGGTATTCGATGAATCTGAGGTTCATCCGATATTGCATTTTTTTTATCATGTGGGACGTCCGACTCCAAGAGAACTGCAAATGTTGCAGAAAGTAGTAAAAAAAAAAGAGGTTTAATAAAGATGACAACATTTGATAGATATGAGATAGCTGAAGAATGAAAACATACATATATATATATATGTAGCCATCGGTATTAAGAAGGAAGTAAAAAAAACACCCAGCTGTATGTGTAGCTTTCTTGTCGTTTTGACATAGTCCGCCCTACTGTACATGGCAGTACTGTACTATTAGGGGGATGTTATATATGTGTCTTTTGTTCCAGACATGTGCCTGAAGTGGCGGACATTACCATTCTCTTCCAACAACATTGGCAAGGACTTCCCTGACGACTGGGTGTGTGCTATCAACCCAGACGTAGCTCACAACAGGTATACTAGTAGGCTCTGGTTCTCTCACCAATTGGACTTTCTCCACTAATGAAGCAACAATTTTTCTGACTGGAACAGATAATCTTGTTAAATTGTTGTGAACATGTATTACTTAACTCATGATTCTTAACTTAATGAAATCTTCTCACAGAATGATTCTATCAGGTATCTTCAATACCTTGTTTATTTACAATTTGGTGTGTGGTCCTATCAACTAAAGATAACAAGATTCTGTTGTATTGTGGTTCCTAGAGCCATAAAAGAGACTGTGCCTACCCATTTAAAAGACTTCTGAAGTGTTGGGGTGTAGTACAATGTATGAAGTGATTGGTTTTGGTTTCAAAATGCACTCTGTATGTCAGTTATTTAAATTATAAAATCTGAAAAAACAGTTTCATGCTGAAGAGAAAATTCTGTATATGTTTATTTTACACTACAAGAACAAAAATAATGTCCTGACTCCATCCTGTAGATGTTCTGTCTGTACCATTGTGATAATGTATTGTGTGTGTGTTACAGGTGTTTGTCAGCAGATAATGTATTGGGTGTTACAGGTGTTTGTCAGCAGATAATGTATTGTGTGTGTTACAGGTGTTTGTCAGCAGATAATGTATTGTGTGTGTTACAGGTGTTTGTCAGCAGATAATGTATTGTGTGTGTGTTACAGGTGTTCGTCAGCAGATAATGTATTGTGTGTGTGTTACAGATGTTCGTCAGCAGACAATGTATTGTGTGTGTTACAGGCGTTCGTCAGCAGATAATGTATTGTGTGTGTTACAAGTGTTCGTCAGCAGATAATGTATTGTGTGTGTTACAGGTGTTCGTCAGCAGATAATGTATTGTGTGTGTTACAGGTGTTTGTCAGCAGATAATGTATTGTGTGTGTTACAGGCGTTCGGCAGCAGATAATGTATTGTGTGAGTTACAGGTGTTTGTCAGCAGATAATGTATTGTGTGTGTTACAGGCGTTCGTCAGCAGATAATGTATTGTGTGTGTTACAGGTGTTCGTCAGCCGATAATGTATTGTGTGTGTTACAGGTGTTTGTCAGCAGATAATGTATTGTATGTGTGTTGTTACAGGTGTTCGTCAGCAGATAATGTATTGCGTGTGTGTTACAGATGTTCGTCAGCAGATAATGTATTGTGTGTGTTACAGGCGTTCGGCAGCAGATAATGTATTGTGTGAGTTACAGGTGTTCGTCAGCAGATAATGTATTGTGTGTGTTACAGGTGTTAGTCAGCAGATAATGTATATAATGTATTGTGTGTGTTACAGATGTTCTTCAGCAGAACAGAAGATGAATATAATAGAAGGGGTATTCAAGAAAGCTGTTAAATCTCAGGACCAGAAACAAAAGGACATAGAGGAGGTAAAATGACTATTAAATACAAAGGCCCAAATGACTTCCCAGAATTCATATGTGACTAGTGTTCCACTAACATTGATCACATACTTAATGTCAATACATCTGTTTATACAGAGTACTGATGTGTGGATAGCTCTTTAAGTCATTGTGAATGATCAGTAAAGAGTACCACCACGTTGAAATATATTATCACCAATTAGCACTTTTATGAAATATTTGTTCATGTCCTTTTCTACAGAAATTGTTAAAATAAATTTGTCTCAGGCTGCATTTACAGAAATAAATATATATCAGGTTTGAAACACTTTAGGGAATAAACTGTGGACCTCTACACCACCTACCCTATTCTTTTTATCAATGTTGCTATCAAGGAATTACAAATGCATAGTATTAAAATGAGACATTCATAGCTTTGCAAAGGGAAGTAACTCTAAACTGGAAAAAAATTCCTTTTTGCTGGTTTATCTTCTGTAAATAAGGGAGCATACTCCAAGGAAAAAAATCCGCTGTGAAGTGGAACTCTTTTTCCATGATTGTTACTGATGCTGTGGTATCCTTCCCCGTAAAAAACATTAGTTATTCTCCTGGTTCTTTTTGCAGGCTATAAAGAAAAAGTCAAAAGAACTTGAAAAAATGCAGGTAAGTTGATTTCTGTAACAACTGTTAACTGTTTAAAAGGCTCAAATTGATATTTCCAAAATCTTGCCAGCGTTTGTTTCTGTTTTTTTTCTCTCTATTTGTTTAATATAACAGAAATGAAAAAAGTGCTTCTTTATGTTTTGGAGTTATCAAAGTTGAATAGAAAGAATGTTTTTTATGAGTAAACTCGGTGAAGAAATAAAAAACCTTGCTAACCAGGTAAAAACTTTATTATGACCTTCTTGTGGAATTGCTTCAAATTTTAGAAACACAAACCAGTGATGTCATCAAGGCAACTGGCAGAAATGGATAGAAAGAGGAAAGAGGAGGAAGACAGGAAACGGAGAGAGGAAGAGAGGAGGAGGAAAGAAGAGGAACGAGAGAGATTGGAGGAAGAAAGAATAGCTCAACTCAAGGCAGCAAGAGAGGCAGCAGCCAAAAAGGTACAGTGTTGTGAGATTGTTTTACAGAAACTTATATAAAGAACTGTTGTACACATGTCATAACGCAAGATCTCACATCTGACGTTGCCATAGCAATCATGTGTCGTGTAGTGTATTCAGGATATCTGTGACAACAGTAGATATATGGTGAGGTTTTTAATAATATATTTCTTGTAAAATTTTAACTTACTTGTGAAATTTATTATGAATGTCACTGCTGCAGTTCATTCACCATATGTCATGTCATATGGCATATCTTATATTATATGGTTCCCAAGTCTTGTATGTGAGAACCTCTTGGAGTTGTGATATATCTTCTACTGAATTTGAATCTCACGCGAAATTGTATTTTGTGCTCCACTCACTATGCACAGAGATTAAGCCCTTCCTTCATTTTGTCACCAATATTTACCCCCAGAAATGGAGAATTATTGATAGTTATAATACAATTCCTTGTTGTAACTCTTTTTGTAGCTAAAAGTTAAAAATGTACAGCAATGTTGTATTTGATGATTCCAGGCAGCAGCAAGGAAAGCGCCCCCGTCCCCTCCCCCTCCCAGGAAAGTGGCAAGTGCTTCCAAGTCCCGAGCTCCAATTAGATCCCCCACGGTGACCTCCACACCCAGGGTTACCTCAACGCAGAAATCCAGGAGTGAACCAAAGTCTAAACCGGAACCAAAGGTGTCCACTACCAAACCCAGCCCAGTAAAACCACCACCAAGGACGTCAAGGGTGGGTATCGCAGCTCCTAAATGGGTAGCATTTGTTAGTTTTGCCTAAGCCAATCAGAGGTCAAGAATGCCATCCTTTTTTCAAAGGCTGAAAAACAACTTTTCCTAAGAATGAAAAGCATAAAAATCATTTGCACATTTTATACGAAATATATTTCATGATTATAATAGCATACTTTACATTGTAATGAAAATTATATACTTAGTATATCAACTTTCCTTTTGTAAAGAAGGTTTTGGTAGCACTGAAACTCAAACACAAAAGACCATAGGGTCTTATCACATCTGGCTTTCAGGTTTGAAAATTTTTCTGATTTGGTCAAAATTGCCAAAATAAAATGGGTTTTTTTCTTCGATAGAATTCATCAGATGCTGCTGAATCTGAGGCATTGTCGACAAAACGGAGATCGACGGTTGTATCCTCAGTAGATATTGACGAGGAACAAGTCGTGCCTGCAAAACGAGCCAAGGCCTTATCTTCTGAATCCGACTCTGATGGTTCAGCCACAAGTACTAAGAAACCGGTGGCAGGCATCTTTACAGAGTCAGACTCTGAACCAACGCCAGCAAAGAAGCGAGGACGAGGAACGAAGGCTGAGAAAGAAGAGGTGAGAATATGTAACATTTACTCCGAAATATAAGGTATTATAGAGAATAACTATGACTTTTTAACAGGATTGTGTTGTAATAATATAATTTCTACAAGTGTAATATTTTCATTCAGGTCATCATAATCTTGTGTTTCAAAATATTTTATGGATTTTTCGTGATTTGGTTAAATAATACGGTTTAGATTAATCTCTGCTTCATTGTTCGACCAAAATTAATATGATATTACTGACTGTCTTGTTTGACGTGATAAACAAAATGATTTTTACCAGTGACATTAATAGTAATTAATACCCATGATGAAATGTAGTTACAAGTTCTTGTCTTTCTACCAATACCACTTTGTATGATGAAATATGTTGATAGCTGTTTTCTCCCTGCAGTCTTCCTGTGATGAAATGGAGGTATCTGAGACGACCACGGAGGTTAAACCTGACATTGAGGAAACCAACCAGGTGTCTTACAATGACGCTGATAGTAACGGTGAGTACAGTCTGTTTCCTATTGATACAGGTATCCCCACCAACTGTAAGTACAGTCTGTTGTCTATTATAATTGTTATGTTAGAAAACAGCCAAGAAGACGCAGGTATCCCCTGTAAAAATATGGTAAAGTGGGAGTGTAAGAATTTCTTTCATAGCAATTCACAAGAGGACTGGGGTCACCAACCCTTGGCAAAGTTTGCAAGTACCTCATAGGGTGGTGTAGTGTCACACACTGAAATCAGGTCTCACAAATTAAATACAGAGTTACAGCCCTTTAATTATCACTAACTATATACAGAGTTACAGCCCTTTGTCGCTAACTATATACAGAGTTACAGCCCTTTTATTATCACTAACTATATACAGAGTTACAGCCCTTTGTTTATCGCTAACTATATACAGAGTTACAGCCCTTTGTTTATCACTTACTATAAACAGAATTACAGACCTTTGTTTATCACAAACTATATACAGAGTTACAGCCCTTTGTTTATTTACTAATTATATACAGAGTTACAGCCCTTTGTTTATCACTAACTATATACAGAGTTACAGCCCTTTGTTTATTACTAATTATATACAGAGTTACAGCTCTTTGTTTATCACTTACTCTAAGCAGAGTTACATCCCTTTGTTTATCACTTACTATATACAGAGTTACAGCCCTTTGTTTATCACTTACTATATGCAGAGTTACAGCCCTTTGTTGATCACTAAATATATACAGAGTTACAGCCCTTTGTTTATTACTTACTATAAACAGAGTTACAAACCTTTGTTTATCACTTACTATATACAGAGTAACAGCCCTTTGTTTATCAATTACTATATGCAGAGTTACAGCCCTTTGTTTATCACTTGCTATATACAGAGTTACAGCCATTTGTTTATCACTAACTATATACAGAGTTACAGCCCTTTGTTTATCACTTACTATATACAGAGTTACAGCCCTTTGTTTATCACTAACTATATACAGAGTAACAGCCCTTTGTTTATCACTTACTATATACAGAGTTACAGCCCTTTGTTTATCACTTACTATATACAGGGTAACAGCCCTTTGTTTAACACTAACTATATACAGTGTTACAGCCCTTCGTTTATGTTTGATACCAAAGCAGTTTTATGACTTAACAAAAGACCCTGAGACAGTCACCATGAAAAACTTGGTAGGTCTATAGGAATAATTAACTTCACAGGGTGATCCTGTTGTTGCTAGGGAAAAGATAACTCTATCTTACACAGGGTAGGGAAAGACAACTGACACGCACTATGAGGTCATTATAATGGATTGTCGATGCGTTGTCATTTTATTGTTTCCGTGATATCATACAACTGTTGTGAATGGGGAATCCTCCGTCTCAACCCTAGGGCTTTGGGGTTTGCCAGAAGAATAAGATCGATGTTTATTCCGACTGGAATTTGTTTATTTGTATGTATGGGAGAAATATAATCAAACATAGGTCTGTTCCATAGACAAGGATATCTTAACCCTCGCCAAGCCTCGTGCTGACCAGCCTAACTCTTACACTCGGGTTGAGATATCCCTGTCCACGGAACAGACCCATGTAAGATTCTATCAATCACATAGCCCCCTTTGTCTATGATGTGTTAATTCTAGATTCTAAGACTGCCAATTTTTGTCCAGAGGTGGAGGACTTTTGAATGCTCACAATACTTTACTTTGTTTTATCATGTGACATGACCAAAACTGTTTATATCGTGTATTATCACCAGATTTCCAACACATGAAATAGCTAGTACATACTTCATCTATGAAACCAATGTACATCTAATGAGGGTGCATTTCATGCCTTGATTTGGTGAAAAACAAACATATGTTGTACTAGAACTAAGTTGTACTAAATGGTCAGTTGCTTTGAACACAAACAGGAATTAAAAAGTTGTTTTGTAAGCTTTTGAAAACATCTGTTTCCTTTGTCAAGCAAAGAGTGAAAATGACCAGACTTTGAAGCTCTGATAACAACTCGCTTAGCCACAATGTGTCGGATCAGTAAAGTCAGCTGTCAGATATCATAGAGACATTTCGCCCAATAGCAATCTAGGCAGTCAGGGGGACAGGTAACATGTTTACCCATTCCGCCCCGTAGTGATGTTAAAATGGAGTCATAAAGATGACTCAGCTGGTGGCCCCCTTCATCTCTGTTCATCAATTCCCCTTCCCTTCTAATCCTGATGGAGTCTTTTGTTTTCCTGGCTCTCTAGTTGTCCTGCCTTGCAAGCACTTTCGAGTTGTTCCAGTCTATGATGTGGTTGTATGTGTTAGTATGGTCTGTGATGGCTGATTTATTGTCTATGATGTGGTTGTATGTGTTAGTATGGTCTGTGATGGCTGATTTATTGTCTATGATGTGGTTGTATGTGTTAGTATGGTCTGTGATGGCTGATTTATTGTCTATGATGTGGTTGTATGTGTTAGTATGGTCTGTGATGGCTGATTTATTGTCTATGATGTGGTTGTATGTGTTAGTATGGTCTGTGATGGCTGATTTATTGTCTATGATGTGGTTGTATGTGTTAGTATGGTCTGTGATGGCTGATTTATTGTCTATGATGTGGTTGTATGTGTTAGTATGGTCTGTGATGGCTGATTTATTGTCTATGATGTGGTTGTATGTGTTAGTATGGTCTGTGATGGCTGATTTATTGTCTATGATGTGGTTGTATGTGTTAGTATGGTCTGTGATGGCTGATTTATTGTCTATGATGTGGTTGTATGTGTTAGTATGGTCTGTGATGGCTGATTTATTGTCTATGATGTGGTTGTATGTGTTAGTATGGTCTGTGATGGCTGATTTATTGTCTATGATGTGGTTGTATGTGTTAGTATGGTCTGTGATGGCTGATTTATTGTCTATGATGTGGTTGTATGTGTTAGTATGGTCTGTGATGGCTGATTTATTGTCTATGATGTGGTTGTATGTGTTAGTATGGTCTGTGATGGCTGATTTATTGTCTATGATGTGGTTGTATGTGTTAGTATGGTCTGTGATGGCTGATTTATTGTCTATGATGTGGTTGTATGTGTTAGTATGGTCTGTGATGGCTGATTTATTGTCTATGATGTGGTTGTATGTGTTAGTATGGTCTGTGATGGCTGATTTATTGTCTATGATGTGGTTGTATGTGTTAGTATGGTCTGTGATGGCTGATTTATTGTCTATGATGTGGTTGTATGTGTTAGTATGGTCTGTGATGGCTGATTTATTGTCTATGATGTGGTTGTATGTGTTAGTATGGTCTGTGATGGCTGATTTATTGTCTATGATGTGGTTGTATGTGTTAGTATGGTCTGTGATGGCTGATTTATTGTCTATGATGTGGTTGTATGTGTTAGTATGGTCTGTGATGGCTGATTTATTGTCTATGATGTGGTTGTATGTGTTAGTATGGTCTGTGATGGCTGATTTATTGTCTATGATGTGGTTGTATGTGTTAGTATGGTCTGTGATGGCTGATTTATTGTCTATGATGTGGTTGTATGTGTTAGTATGGTCTGTGATGGCTGATTTATTGTCTATGATGTGGTTGTATGTGTTAGTATGGTCTGTGATGGCTGATTTATTGTCTATGATGTGGTTGTATGTGTTAGTATGGTCTGTGATGGCTGATTTATTGTCTATGATGTGGTTGTATGTGTTAGTATGGTCTGTGATGGCTGATTTATTGTCTATGATGTGGTTGTATGTGTTAGTATGGTCTGTGATGGCTGATTTATTGTCTATGATGTGGTTGTATGTGTTAGTATGGTCTGTGATGGCTGATTTATTGTCTATGATGTGGTTGTATGTGTTAGTATGGTCTGTGATGGCTGATTTATTGTCTATGATGTGGTTGTATGTGTTAGTATGGTCTGTGATGGCTGATTTATTGTCTATGATGTGGTTGTATGTGTTAGTATGGTCTGTGATGGCTGATTTATTGTCTATGATGTGGTTGTATGTGTTAGTATGGTCTGTGATGGCTGATTTATTGTCTATGATGTGGTTGTATGTGTTAGTATGGTCTGTGATGGCTGATTTATTGTCTATGATGTGGTTGTATGTGTTAGTATGGTCTGTGATGGCTGATTTATTGTCTATGATGTGGTTGTATGTGTTAGTATGGTCTGTGATGGCTGATTTATTGTCTATGATGTGGTTGTATGTGTTAGTATGGTCTGTGATGGCTGATTTATTGTCTATGATGTGGTTGTATGTGTTAGTATGGTCTGTGATGGCTGATTTATTGTCTATGATGTGGTTGTATGTGTTAGTATGGTCTGTGATGGCTGATTTATTGTCTATGATGTGGTTGTATGTGTTAGTCTGTGATGGCTGATTTATTGTCTATGATGTGGTTGTATGTGTTAGTCTGTGATGGCTGATTTATTGTATTGCCTCTCCAACGTTTTCCTTGTATTGCTAGTGTAGACTTGCTGTTTCATGGCTTCAGCGTCTTTCTGATGTTCTTTTAGGCGTGTCCCAAAATTCCAGCTCCTTTCCCCTCCCTATCAGAATACAAAGTAATCTAAGGGTCTATAAAGGTTTTGTATGACATTTTATTGACAACAAATAGGAGTTACTTCCCTTCCCCCATGGTAGGCCCTCAGGATTTATGCATCAAAAAGCCATACAAAATACATATCTTCAACAATGTTAAAAAAGGTACCTAGCCAGTGATGTTGGTGTACACCATGAACAGTTCATACAATGTTGAAATTTGCACTTTCACACTAAGTAGACTTTGCCAAAGGCCTATAATGGTTTCATCTTTTCACTCCTGTTCTGATATTCTATATGTTGTAGTAAATAATGAAATCTGTCTATAAAATCCACGCAATAGAGAGCATAAAAAATCATCATCATAGAAAGGTGATATTAATATACAGGTGGTCTTAATTGCAATATGATCTTAGATATACAGGTAGCCTTTATATATTATAGAAAGGTGATATTAATATACAAGTGGTCTTAATATACAGTTGATTTTTAA